TTTCTGATAAGTAGACATTAACTAAAGAAGTACATCCTTTTTTTTTTTTTTTTTTTTTTTTTCTCTGGTACCGGGAACTGAACTCATGACCTTGTGCTTGCCAGGCAGGCACTTTGCCGCTGAGCTAAATCCCCAGTCCCAGCTAAATCCCCAGCCCCTCCATTTATGATTTTAAAAAACACCCTGATTCAATGAGGGCCTTATCTCAATCTGATAAAAGCCATTTATGACCAACCTACTATCAACATCATGTTAAATGAGGAAAAGCTGAAAGCCTTTTCTTTAAAATCAGGAACAAGACAAGGATGTGTTCAACATGATTGAGTAGAGGCGCAGCCAGAGGCCATTCCCAAGTATCTAGATTGTTCTCTGAGACTGCGACCCAGGGAAGATTCTGAGTAGATGGTGACACAGCTTGATTTGTGTTGTAAGAGTTACTGTAGTTCTGGGTAGAGATTGTACTGCAGATAACTTGGGGAAGAATAGAACAGAGCCAGAGCTCTCTCAGAGAAAACCCAAGTCCTTTCCCTGGCCTATTTATACTGGGCCATTCATATTGTGTCTCTGGCTAGCTTATTGGGTCCACATTTTATTTCTTTTCTTTTTCTTTATATTCTCTTCCTGCCATCCTCCCTCCCTCCATTTCTTCCTTTTTTTGGCCCTCCTCTCCTTCTCCTCTTTCTCCTTCTCCCTCTTTTGTTTTCGGTTTTCATTACTAGAGGTTGAGCCCAGGTCCTTGTGCACACTAGGCAAGTGTTCCACCATTGAGCTACATCCCCAATACTTCTTTATATTTTAAATTTTGAGACAAGGTCTCACTAAGTTATGCAGGCTGATCTGGAACCTGTGATTCTCCTGCCTCAGCCTCCTGAGTAGCTGGGATTACAAGTGTGTGCTGCCATGCCTGGCCTCTTCTCTCCTTTTAAATTTAGCCTCATTTATACCAAATGCCTTATTTTTCCTTCGATTTATGTCCTTGCCCCAGAGACTTTGCACCTGCTGTTCTTTCTGCCTGGAATACTCTTCTTCCAGATGTGTGTGTGGCCCATTTTCTTGAGATCATTGTTCAAATGTCATTGTACCTAGGGACTTCCCTCCTGTTTTATGTGAAGAGGCAAATCCTGTCCTTAACCTTTAATCCTCTTCCCCTACTTCTTATTTCTTTGGAGCCCCTATTACAATTTGACATTTTTGCATATTCATTTGTTATCTTATGCTAAATATTAGTGTACAAGAAATACATTAAAAAATCTGAGAGTTAAATAAAAGATGTCAGGGGGTTGGGGGAAATGGCATTAGGAGAAACCTTACATTTGTAGTTTTTTCTCCTTCGTAGCAGCAGAGAAGCCTGAGAGCCATCAGAGGCTAACAACACTGGGGAGGCCAGCCCTGCTGCATGGCCTGGTGGCCTCCTTACCATTGTGAGCAGTTCCTCTGGGCAAAAGAGCATCTACTGAGATGATAAATTATAAAAAGATGGCCCATTCCTCTGGACCGGCACAGCCCCGGACCAGAGGATTTGACAGGCAGGATATGGGCTGCCTTCCAAACCAACAAGTCCCCTTGGCCAAGCACTTTTGTGCCTCTCTTTGGCTACCTTTTGTTACAACACCAGGTTGTATTTTAGATAAGATGAGAGAACCTGCAGGAAGGACTGATTCTATATTCAATAATCATGGGTGGTTAGAGAACTCAAAACCCCAGACCACAAAGTAATCAGCTGCTGACTCTGCATCTGAGTATCTGGTTTCTTTGGCTGAAAGCATCTCCACTTCTTGGGTAACATGCTAAAACTTAAGAACGAAGCTTTCAGAAAGCTCTTTGCTCAAAGGTGACTTGCAACTCTAAATGGTTTTCACATGTCTGTGTATTTTGGCTTTTCAAGGTAAATGCCAGGGGACATACACTCTACAGGGAACACACAGCTTCACAACTCAACACCCAAGATTAAAAAGTAATAAAAGAGAGCAGGAAAAAGAATCAAAATGTAAAGCTAGCTCCTGGTAACACAGATCTTATCTCAGGCCAAAGCTGCTTCCTTTCAAAAGTGGTTGCCTAAATGTAATATTTTAAAATACTTTTCACACTGGATATTGTGACCAGCCGTACATCAGGAGGACTGTGTGTATCCACAGACAGTTAAGCTAAGGACGCATGCCATCACAGAGGAAAACCCACAAAGACACATATGGAATGATAAGCCTTCTAAAAATGGGAGGTGTAATCAAAATCTATGGTGAATGTGTAAATTTTAAAAAATAAAAGACACACTGTCAATAATCCTCCCTGAAAATATTGTCTCATTTTGATAATCTTTGTCCCATTGTTCTTGCTACTTATTGAAGCAATTCTGGGTCTTTTTCTGTTGTCTTTACAAGGTGGGACCCAAAAATACAGTGATTGTGCCACAGAGTGCCATCCAATGGAAAGATGGGTCACCCAAACTTCAAGTCCTCAGTCTCCTATGTACCAGATCTGCTACTATGTGACTTCTGGCCCTTTCCCAATGTCAGAACGACCACAAGAGGGAAATGTTTTCAGTGGATTCACAATATCAAGGCTGCCACAAGGGTGCAAGTACAGACACTTATGAAAGAGGGCCTCCAGAGCTGCTTTAGGAAGTGGCAAAAATGATGCTTAAGTGTGTTCAAAGTGAGGGGGAGTATTTTGAGGATTAATAAAAATATGCCTTTTACTGTAACAATTAGAAAAATTTTAAACATTCATTGTATTTTTAAATCATACTCTGCCCCTCCTTGCTTTTGCTAAGCAGTCATTGTGGAAGTTGCCAAAATCACCTAATTCATGGATTCTAGGATTTGGTTGGCACTGTGGAAATGAAATGTCAACCTTTGGCGCTTTCCAGTGTCAGCTTTGAGAGGCACTGGTGACATGGCCCCAGGACTCAGGTCTCCTGTGAGGAAATTCTCCTGCCAGTGAGAACTCAGGCATTAATCTGAAGTTCTTAAGGCAGGAAGATGATTTGCTTTCAGGGGAGAGGTTATCTGGACCAGAGCCCACCCTCTCACCCGGCCTCCCATAAGAGCCTGTTCCAGGCCTCCAACAATTTCTTCCACCTCAGCTCACGCCTCAGTACACATCAGGCTGTGTGGACGTGGGCCAAACATATATTGTGTTGAGCAGCTGAGTCTGTAGATTCATTTCTTATCAAAGTGCGTTAGGATTGCATGGACTGTTAACTTTCTGAGACCCTAGAAGTAAAGCTAATTAGTTCTTCTTTCCACTAGCTCTTCTTTCAGCATATTTTCACCCAACTCCAAGGGTGCCCAAGAACTTGAAGAGGAGGTTCCCATAGGAAGGAACAGCCTGAGAGGGGGGTTTTCAGAAAGTGGGAAAGATGTACAGTCCTTGGCTTCTATACAGACATGCAAGGAGAAAAGAACAGAGGTGGAGAAATTTCTTCCCTAATTCCATTTCGCAAAAGTCCTCCATCTGTCCTGCTTATCCTCAGCTTCTTCTCTGTTCACAAGTATTTAGCACACATGGAGAATCTTGTACATCAAATCCTGTAAGAATTTGATGTATAAAATGATAATATTTTGAAATATTAACTTATATGGATGACACACTCTTACAGCTCAGTATTTTTCCTTTTCTCTCCACTCAGCCAATTTAAACTCAGCCTCTTAGGAAAAAGATGGGGACGTGAATGCAGAGAAAACAGAACCACCTGGACATATAACCCCAGAAGCTGATACTCTTAGGGGAATAGTGAAGGTGTTAGGTGGAGATAAGAGAGGAGGGGCATCCTCTGGCAGCAGAGATTTTCACTCCTGTCCATTTTAGAGAGGCACCTATGGGTGCAGGATTGGTAGATAGCTCTATGATCAACCTGTTGGCACTGGGCAGATTCCCCCATGCTATTATGATGTTAAAATAAACCCTGTACCCTCAAAAGTGACATACATATACAAAACTAAGAATGGTCAGATCTCAAGAGTTTTATGCCTGCATAAGAGATGGCCTACCTAGGATTTGTGTAGGCAGAGAAGAGAGAAGCAGATGAGATAGGGTGCTGTTGGACGATTCTATTTCCCCATCCAAGCCCTTGGCATTGTGTGAGCTTTCCAGAATAGAGACACAATCCTGGGTCTAACAGAAGTGACACAGGGAATGCTCAAGGTTAGGCTCTTGTCCCGCACCCCTGCGGAGTGGGATGCAAACCTGAGGTATAGGACATGTGGACTGCAAACCCGGTGGTGAACTAGGAGAGTGTGGCTGTCCCAACCCCACTGGAGGAAAGAAATAAGGACCAGGTCCTTTTCTCATCTGTCCTTTCAATCTGCCCCACCCTTCCCTCTATCTTCTTTCTGTGATTCTGTGCGTACCCATGTTCTGTGTCAGAAACCAGTGGGTATCCATGAACTGCTGGCTGGAGGAAGGGCTGCAAGGCTGAGCCCAGATGTCACTGAAGGTAAACTAATTGGAGGGAGAGGATCTGGGAGACTGATCCGGCTTGGGTCTTCAAAACTCCTTCATCCTGTGGTCAGAGCATGATGGGCTCAACATTTCAATGTAGATCAAGGATCTTCCAGGCCTCTGTTACCTCAGTCATCCCATCCATGGATAATCCAGCCCCACCTCTGGAATCCAGAAAGCTTCCTTGCTCCCTGGAGTCCAGGTCACTCTCTGGCTTGTGAATAAGAGTCAGACTTTATGCCCCCAGGGTGGGGACACACTGGCTGTGACTAGGGTGTGCAGAAGTGTACTCAGGCCTGGAGCAGGCAGCAGAGATCCTGGTCCCTGCCCCAGTACAGCTTGTAGTATGACCAGAGTGTACCCTTAAACTCTCTGAGCCCTGAGTTTTCTTGGGAAGTGAGGGGATTCAACTAGAATAATCTGTAAGATTTATTTCCCTCTTCAGTGTCTATGACTTTGTGACAATTTCTGACGTTTCCTGATTTGGGATGTGTCTTTTATCTGACTGGCTTTTTGAGCAGTAATAACATAAACCTCTTCCATTTAACAAGGCTTTCCAAGTTAAAATGCTATCTCCACATTAATTAGCCCACATAAGCCCCACAATTCAGGGCCCGCCATCATGGATATCCCTCTCCTCTCCAGCGCTGCCTTTCTATTCTTTATTCACCTTAGGGGCTTTTATTCAGAGAGATGGGTTCTCTGCATGTTGTCTGGACTGGCTTTGAACCCCTGGGCTCAAGTCATCCTTCTGCCTCAGCCTCCCAAGTAGCTGGCACTATAGGGGTGCACCACAGTGCCTAGCTTACATGGAGAGCTTGTGGGTTTGCCCAGTGCAAGCTCCCAGCCTTGGCTGTGCAAGGACACCCTGTTCTCTCTTAGAGTTTTCTCATATACACTTCAATGCACGTTTATAGTGACCAAAGCAAATGACTTTGACCACACTTCAAATATCACTCCATGCCTCTGCTTACATGAAGAATCTTTATTGTGTTTCTGATTAAAAATGTCATATACCCATGTATTTATACAAAATGTAGGTTACTAGAAAGCTTCTCAGAACACATACTACCAGAGAAAAAGCATAGTTAAGGTTGGGTGCACAGTCTGCCAACTTTTTCTTCATGGAAATATGTGATGTTCTTCCACACACATTTTTCCTCTAAGCCTGCTGCCTCCTAAACTAGATATTAAGTCAGTTGTGCTTTTATGCAGTTGACTCAAGGCCGAGTAGGAGATAACTTCCTTAACAAGAAGCAGGAGACAGATAGCACAAGAGCAATCTTTCCTACCTACTTTTTAGTGATTTTAGCTTTCTCTTCTCTCTCCTCTGCTGTCTTCATTGCTTGAAACTTCTCTGTTGCCAAACCAAGCTGCAGAAGCAGGTGGAGAGGAGTCAAACACCAGCCCAGCCCTGTGTCCAAACAGTGGGAAGGCCAGATGTTGGTGACAGGATCTTGGCTCATGGTGGAGGCGACTGGAAATAACAAAGTGAGGGCTGTGGAGGAAGGGGCACCATGGGCAGAGAGCCTGGGGGCTGTTCGCTGCCAATACCTGGCATAGCTGTGTAAGAAGCCACAGGGGAAGTGCTTGCTTCTGAGGAGGAGCAGTGCAAGGCTGTCCTGTAACCCTCAGCCTGTACTGGACTCAGGAGGAGTGCATAACAGCCCTGGCTGAACTGCCTGGAGAATCACCAACATTCCACAGGTCTTTTTCCTGGGTTTGTTGAGCTTGATTGCAGCAAGGGGCTGGCTAGGAACGTCCCAGTTTCCTACTGCTAGGTCACAGGCACTCAGTTTCTCTACCTGTTTCTGTAACTTGACGGGATGGGAGAAGGTGTGGGTATCTTTCTTTTCCACAGATGTGTGATGCTGGTTGGATGTTCAGGAGCCTTTTATTCACCTGGTCAGACCTCATCAGACTGCTGGAGTTATGAGCCAGCTCTGGCTAAAGGTACACTCAAGCTATGGTGGCCAGGTCAGGACAGAGGGTCCAGACTCTGTTACTATTTGTAAAAGCAGTTGACATCTGTGGAATGCCAACCCAGCCTTGGGAGACCAGGACACATTGTGCTTTTCTGATTATCTGAGTCCACATAGGCCCTCTTTCCTTTTGCCTGGGGGTGAGCAATATGATGGTCAGCTATTGACTTTCCTTAATTTTACTAATAACCTCCAGTTCAAGATCATATATTGCATTTAGTTGCCGAGTCTCTCAAGCCTGCTGCACACTAAAACAGCCCCTTTACCTGAAGCCCCCTCCTCTGGACTCTCATTCCATGGAAACTTGGAAGAGTCTCAGTGAATCGTTTTGCAGAATGTCTCTCCATTTGGGGGTGTCTGATTATGTATGCCTCTTTGCCAAGGATATTCACAATTGTGTGTATTTCTTAGTGTAGCATTGTGGTGGCCACAGGGCAACAGTTTCACACGTAACTGGGTCAGGTCAGTTAAGGACCCACACATATGCTGTGATGCACAGGGTACGTGACCAATGGTTACTGTCTTGCTCACTCACCCTCACACCCTGTGTTTACAGAATACCTACCAGGCTCTCTGTTCCCTTTGCATAGAGTTGTGCAATTGCCACACTTGGATCTTGTGGTAGAAATGAGGACTGCTCAGGGCCACTCTCCCGGGCCTGGCTTCTCCTGGGCCTGGGTCTCTCATCTCACCCACGCAGACAAAGCTCTGGGGGAAAGAGGCCATGTGAGCAAGTGTGGCAACTACTGGCAGAATTTGTCTTGTCAGGCTGCCTCTTGGGCCCTGAACAACTAGGCTGCACGGCACTTTCCGGCTTGTCTTGTTTTTATTTTATTATGATCTTTCTGCCATTTTTTCAACTCTGTTCTAGTGCGCCAGAACCAAGGAAAGAGGTATTGGGTATGAGGCACTGTGATGTGAAGGTGTGAGACCGCAGACCTGCTGGAAGACCATCAGAGAAAAGGCTGATGTCCTGGGGAATGAGCAGAGCATGGCTGATAAGGGAGAAATATCCAGAGCTGGACTGAGTGGAATCAAAGCCTATACCCTTTCACAAGCTATGGGAACTTGGGAAAGTTTCTTTGTTGTTGTTGTTCAGAAATTTTAAAAATTGTACTAAAATATATAACAAAATTTGTCATTTTAATCCCTGTAAGTGTAAAATCCAGGGAGCATTAATTATATCACAATGTTGCACAACACCAACGATACCTATTTTAAAAAATTTCCAGGAGTCCAAATAGATATTTTGTACTCATTAAGCAATAACTCCCTAATCTTCCTTTCCCAAGCCACAGTTACCTTTAATCTACTTTCTGTCCCCATAAATCAGTCTATTATTGATATTTCATATAATTGGAGTCATACAGTGTTTGTTTTTTGTGTCCAGCATATCTCCCTCAGTGTGATGTTTTCATGGTTTACCCGTGCTGTAGCATTTAGCAGATCTTTATTTCCTTGTGTGGATAAACAGTATTTTAGCTAAACACATCTTGTTTATTTGCCTGTTGTACATGTCACATCATCTTGTGTATTCATCTGTTGATAGACGTGGGTTATGAATGATGGTGCAATGAAACTGGCATGCAAGTAGCTTTGACAAAGTTTCTTCACCTCTCTGCCACTCAGTTTTCCCAAAGCGTTGCTGTGAAGATTCAGTGAATTAATGCATATTTAGCTTTTAGGGTGGTGACTAGTCAGGAAAGACACAACAGATGCTGGTTATTAGTATTATTACTCCAAAATCCATGTCAGTTCTTGTTTTCCAGTTTTTCTAGATTTTTAGGACCTTACCTGCTGTAAGAAACACTTCAGTGAGAAACGCTTCCATTTCTGTCCTTTCCACACCTAAGTATTTTTTTTTTAGATTTTTTTTTTTATTTCAAAGAGGAAAAAAACAATAAAAACAATGAGATAGAATTTCAAAACAAGATAATAGGAAATTAACCTATTATCTTAAGTAAAAATACTTAATGCCTAAGTATTTTTATAAACATTAATATCTGTATTCTGTTTCTTTCACTCCTACATATGTCCAACGCCTTCTTCTTCCCTGCTTTCTTTTCCTGCGTCTCTGAAATCAGAGGGAGCACTGAGATGTTGCATTTTACTTCTCCAGGATCAGCCTTCTGGGGAAGGGTGGGAGAGAAGAGCGTCAGGAGAAAGAGGGCTCCCGGTGGGCCGGGGATGGGGCGATGTGAATGTGGTTGTGGGCACAGGTCACACGTCTGTCAGGGCTGGGTAATGAATGTACCCATGCAATCAGCTGTAGTTTCTACTTTCTTGATGGTAATGAAGAGCACACTTGTTGTCTGTGCTGTAATTACTAGTGCCAAATACCTTAGAAACCTTTCCTTAAGCTGTGAACATATAAGGCTTGTTATTGGCACTTAACAGATGAGGACAAGACAAGTTACAACAATGAACTCTGTGGTGACTCTGATAGTAATGACAAGTAGGAAGACAGTTCTAATCTACCCGCAGGCTGTACTGTTGCTCACCACTGGCACTGATGGCAAGCAAGCAACTGACCTTTCTGTCTGTGCTGCCAACACAGGAGACTTGTCCTTCCTTAGATTCAGGTGTGCTTTATGTGTTCTTTCCTCTCGAGCTTGATCAGTAGGATTCATAAACTTTCCCCTTTTGGTGGATGATGTTGACCTTTACTCTGTATTGACAGTGTATGTGATGTAGTGTCTTTAAACAAAACAAAACACTTCTGTTAGATTCCCAGAACTTCCGGGGATGGGGAGGGGATGATCCCCAGACTCTACTTCACAGAAATATTCACCTCTGCTGCTCGGTCCAGAAATATTTTTAATATTACATTTTATTTAGCTGAGTATACTAAAAATAGCACTTTAATATATAATCAACATAAAATAATTATGAGATACTGTACACTTTTTCTTGCATTGTCCTTGAAACCAAGTGTGTGTCTCACACTCATCTCACTTCTCAATCAGAGGACACAATTGAGTGTCCAAAACCTCAAAGGGCTCCTGTACAGACACCAGAAGAATGGGTTTTGCATGCCTCACCGAAGCTTTCTTTCTTTTAAACACAATTCCTGAGTGTGTGGTTGTACACAATGCAGAAAGTGGCCACTGTCTTCGTACTGCTGAGGGAGTTCATGCCAAGGTGCCTGCAGTTTTACACAGCACTGCGGTTGCACCATCAGTACAAATATCAGTTGACACAGAAAAAGGCAAGCACTTATGGTCGTGGTTGTTACAAGATGGTCTCACCGCTTAGATCTCTTTCAGGGTTGTGGTAAACTGGGGCTCCGTGGACTACACTTTGGGAACTGAGGGGCTGGAATTGAGTAGGATCAAACTCTGATGTCTTGGATTTGGGGTTTTGCTGCTTAAGTGAAAGGAACACAGTCTGGAGCTGGGACATTATTTCAAGAATAATGTTCCCAGCAATTCGTTTTTGACCCATGGAAGATTGAGCTATAGCCATAACCTAGCAGGGTAGGAAAATGAACTGGGCTACTTTCAGAGTGCAGGTTTAAAGTCAGTTTTGTTTTATGGGGTATCTGTACATCCCCGTTCAAGAGAAACTGTACAGCGGACAGCGAGTAGCTCAGGAAACAATTAAGAATGTTGCTGTAGCTCCCACATCAAAGCAGTGAGCAGGACAGACGTCTGTCAGCACCACTGCCAGTGAGATAAGCTGATGGCCAGTGGGTGGGAGGGTTGCTGTTATAGCAACAGGCCACGCAGCAGAGGCCACGCAGCAGGGGCCACGCAGATGGGGCCTGGTGACAGCAGCAGGCAGAGGCCAAGGGAAGCCCCGCCCAGCTCCCAACCTGTGGATCACAGAATAGAACCAGCCTCTCTTCTCTCTACATCCCGGTCTCCTGCTGGGTGTCAGCAGAGTGATATGACAGCCCAGGGCTTCCCTCTTAGCCTGTGCTGCAGGCCAGGGAGAAGTGTCCCTACCGGCTGGTGCCAACCTTGTTCTTGTCAAAGTTTCTGGGAAGACCTGACATCTATAGCTTCCTGATATCACCTCCTCCTCACACTTTATTAGGTGACCAGGTCACAGTGTTGCTCCTGCAGACCCTGGAAGGTAACAGTGCTGCTTTTCTTGGAGAACCTGTCTGGGAGATGAGAGCAGCACTGGGCCACACGGCAGGCAGCAGCAGTCTGGTCCCCTGCTGGGCTGCGTTTGCTCCCACACGGACATGCAGCAGGCTGCCTTCCCACCCAATCAGCTGCGCACAGCCATTAGACTCCGTTTGAAGTTTTGTTTTCTTCTTTTCTTCTTATCTCAATGGGCAATCGCTCCCAGGACATTTTGTAACAAATAACATTTTCTATTCTGCCCAGAACACCGACCTTTGGCCTGCAGCCTGGCTGTCTGACAGCCTGGCCTATCCCTCCCCACAATCCAAGCCACACTCTCTTTTTGTTTGTAAAGAATGTCATTATTTACTTGTGAGGGCATCAGGTGGGCTGCGTTGGAGTTCAGCCACACTGTGATATATCAGGACCTATCTTCTGGTTTCCATTTTCCTCCTCTCTATGCTATTTTTCCTGCTGTAAGAATCTGCTTATGCCGTGAGGTCTGACATTCCAGGTGCTGTGCTGACATCTCTGACCCCTCGCAGGGGCCCAGAGGCTTAGCTCTGAGTCCCCTGCTCTCCCGCACTCCATGCAAGAAGCTCTCCACCCCCATGCAAGAAGCTCTCCATCTGGCTAGCTCCCCTCTCAGCTGGATCAGCTCTACCCCAAATGGTCTTCACCCTAGTGGATTTCACCTGCCTTCCCCCTCAGCAGTGGAATTATTCAAACAAGTCAATTGAAGGGATCAGGGCACACCCGCCCTTCTGCCCCTGTAGCAAGCCCCTCCAGCTCTTCTGCTCCACTCTGCTCTGAAGCACAGCCCCCACGTGGTGTGTGGTGTCCTCTCTCCTGTTCTGTGAGCATATGTGCCTCACTAGCTACTGTTTGTATTCAGGGTCAGGAGACCTCTCCTTTCCCAAGGAGCTGAGTAGCAGAAGCCCAGAGCAGCACTCTGTTCTCTGCTGCACCTCTAGACTTTTCCCTGGACACGTGGGTAGCCATTCACAACTCAGCGTTCTTTTCTCTTGGACAAGGCATGGTGATTTAAAGCTCACTGTTTCACCTCAGCACTGCTCCCCAGTTCCTGCCCACACCACTCACTGTTCCTAGAGGGCAATGTTTTCTTCTAACTAGGGCTGTGGGGGTGGGGGTGGGGGTTCTCTAGTGATCAGAGTGCAGGGCCCTGAAACAACATAGCTACAATCCCAGCTCTCTTCCAGCTCTAAGGTGCACTCTAGGGAGTGCCCCGAGGTCCCGAGCAGAATGTGCTCCCAATGCTATGAAAGTTGTCGTGTTCACTTACCAACCCCTGCCTACCCTGTGTACACCACTACCCTCTCATCCATCAGTGCTTCCTAGCTGCTTCTGGAGTGGGCGCGTTGCACTTAGATCCTTGCCTTAGCTCCTGCTCAGTTTTGCACTCATCATCACACTTTGGGAAGGCCACAGGCTGCTACATGTAGATGAAGCTCAAGGTGATTGCCTATTGCAGGAAATCTCAACATGAGCTCTTTATGACAAGTTACAGATAATTCTCCCTGGTGACAAACACTGAGGTTGTATGTAGCTAGAAGCAGTGCTGGGCTGGGCTGGGCTGTATTACCTGACTGGCTCTTGCAGTGAATGGGAGAGACGGGTGAGCCAGGCTCTCTGGGGTGCATGCATGACCCTAGGACTGCAGGAGCTCAGAGAATCCCACACTTAATCTCTGTGTTGGCGGACTTCACTCTAAAGTGGCTGCATGACTTTATACTCCCAGCAGCAATATAGGAGAGTTGACTTTCTCTGGATTGTAGGCTGGGTTCTTAAAAACAGGCACTAAGACAATACTGATGGGCAAAAAGATGATTCTGAAAGATCAGCCCCAGGGAGGGAAGAGGGGAAGAAGGACTTAAACTAAGCTGGTGGGGTGGCCAGGGTGGCTGAACCTGCCAGGAGCTCTGGGGTATGTGTTGCCTGTTACAGCAGCCTGCTTTGTGCTGACATGGCCAGTCTTCAAGTTCCTTCTCTTCCCACGGCAGTCTGGGCTGGCCCCCAGCTACCTTACCTACCTTTCCCTGTCTACTAGGAGTCAGGGAAACCTCAGTGAGGAAGTAGCAGGGACCCACAGACATCCCCAGGAGAGGAAGGTTGCACAGGCATTCCAGGCAAAAGAAGCCACCGGAGCAAAGGCAGGGGCTGTGGAAGCCCTGGAGGTGTTCAGGGGTGGAGGAGAGACTGAGGGTGGTGAGTCGGGGAGGAAGGGATGAGAGTTGGGATGGAGATGACAATTTGGGGTAGATGAGGGCTTGGGGTGCACCTCTCATCTCAGAAGGTGCTTCTGAACACCCTTCTTCTGTGGGAACTGGGGCACAACCCTCCCCACCAATCTGACATGGGAAAGTGGTATCTCCCTGTTACTTTAATTTGCATGT